TTTGTAATAAAATAATTTGCATATATTGTAACCAATTAATAAATTTTATTAAATATTAGTCTTTTAAAAACTTGAATGTGCTTGAATGCGTGATTACTTCATCATGTAAATGTACTTCTCTTTTTCTTTTTCTTTTTTGTTATTAAAATTGATCAAAGCAAGATATCATCCATGGAAAAGTTAATATATTACATTTATCTTTTATCGATTATCACGTAGTGTAGAAAATTATGTATTATGAGACTAAATAAAGGAGAGAATATTGAAAAGAAAATGTTAAAGAAAATGTTTTTTTTTAATCAACATTTTAGAGAAGAAATTTTTTTTTTATCAGCATGTAAAAGAAAATATCATTGGATAACAATATCAAATTTGGTTAAAATAAATTATTGAGTTAGATCCCTTAAATAAGACTTTATTTGTCCATGTTGTGTTTGCAATTATAGTTATAGGTTTTTCTGTCTTTTAATATTTTAAAAATATATTAAATATTAATTAAAATTAATATAATTATATAAAAATTTAATTAAAATTAGTTCAAAATAATAAATTTACATTTTTAGATAAATTATTGTATGCAAAAGGTTTGTGAGAAGTATAGTTAAATGAAGCATAAGATTAGAGATCTTTGACGAAAAAAATAAAAACAAAGAATGGAGATCTAATTACAATAATTAAAAAGATAAAGGGCCAATGGAATTATGGTCGGAAGGTTGAGGCACCAGTGAATAAAAGTCTTATCCATTTTCCACAACGCGTTGGTGCATCACCATGCTTTGCCAGGTGAGGACACCTCCTTTTTCGCTTTGTACACTGCACTACCTTTAACGGACATTTTTTTCATTTTTTCCCATTTTGCACAAACTAAAGTGTAAAAGAGAAAAAGCAACATCTTTTTCTTAATCAATAGTTCGAGGCCATTTGTAGAGCTTTTTAACAAACTTACATTTAAACAAATTATTTGCTCATATATTTGACAATTTGTTTTTCAGGGAAACAAGTGTGCTTATAAACAAGAGTGCTCATATATTTATTTAATAATTTTTATTTTATAATTTGGTTAAAATTTAAATTATAGAAAAAGAAACTTTTAAAAATAAAGAAAACACTCTTTTAAATTTAATTGAACCACTATTGAAGCTGATGCGTAAATATAAAGAAATCGAACAAAAGTCTTGATTCGACCGGATCGGCCCTGGGCCCCTCAAACATGATGCTTTATTTATTTATGAATAAATGATGGGAGAAGAAGATTAAAAGGAAACTAATAAATGATGAAAGAAAAGATGAAACTTAGGCAATGAGAGAGCACTCAATGAAAAGGCAGGCATGGCATGTTCTCAGTCACCCTTTTACCAGAAATTATTCGAAGAATGGACCGAGGGAAAAAGCAATGTGAATGGTGAGTTTGGGGCTACAAAGTGCATACAAAAGGCTTCCCAAAACCAAACGCAGAGGTCATCATGTTCACAGGACCCATAAAGCTTCCTGCAAGGTCCCATTTTTGTCGCCTGCTCAGGCCGACTGCAAAGAACACATGCCCTGGACTGTTGTTTGTTTGCCTCTTAGTCAGATTTTATTATGAAGTGTTCTCTACGCTCCAAGGCAACTGGAAGGACCACTTACCTTGGTGGAGGGCATCCCGGATTCACAGGTTTGAACTCAGACTTCCCCTTCCTCCTCCCCTTGCATGTAGATAGATATAATTGTCCGCTTTCAGAAAAAAATTAATCATGGAAGGGGAATAAGGGAGTTAAGCATCCTCAGAATCTGCATATGGAACTATTTGGACCACCTTGAAGTTGAATTGTGGTTGAGGAAGAAAAGAAAAGTTGAATGAATGACGCCGTAAACAATAAAAGTTCCTTCCCTCAGTCTCAAGTAAAAGCAAACTAGAACATGAATATGTAGGCAAACCATAAAAAATGGGGAATCAATGACTATAAACAGAATCATTCACGTAGGTGATCATGAACAGCGGGGAGTCTTTGCCCTCAGATGCATAGAAGAAACAAGATCATTTAAAAGATGGTGATAACAATCAAGACTGTAAAAACAAATCCACTCCCAATAAGTACAATAAGAGGCTTAAATTGATTGGATATGGTCATATAGATGAGTTTTAGAAAAGATCAGAATTATTCACAGTAGTAAGCTGGAAGCAGGGGAATTTCTCACATATTCACAATAGCAGTATTTACAAGGAATTTCTGCCAACTCCCAGGTTTTGCCTAACATCGGTTCAACTGAAATAGGGAGGCAAATATAACGAGAAAAACAGCCATGTGCTAGATATGATGCTGTCTTCTTCAGTTTCCCTTTCGGGTTTTTGTGTGCTTGTTCCCCATCTCTAAGTAGATACCAACTTCTGTTTATACCAGTCCAGCTTTCCTAATTTCTTATAGTATATGTAAAAGAAAGGCAGATCTTCAAAACACCCCATATTACGAATTTATTTCAGAAATGAGGGTTGCGCACAAGGTCAGCAGTTCTAGGCTTTTAGAAGTTCTTAAGAGATGAAAACCACTGCTGCATATAGTTGTTTCCCTCTGCATAGCCACAAAAATAAAAAGAAAAACTCAGCATGGATTTCAAATTTTAGCCATACATGGGATAGAAAACAAGATAAGTGGAAACAATGGAAACTTTCCAGAAGTCTATAAACCAAATCAGGGTTATGCAGTTTCAGTTAAAATGAGGGGTATGTCATTACAGCTCAGAAATTTCCAAGGCAGAGATAGGCATTGTATTGGATCAGAAAGAAGTTAACAATAATCTAGGGTACAAGCACCTAACTCCACCCACCACAAATTACATCACTGGGTACACAAACACACACGAAAAAAGGCACATCAACAGGTTGTTTCATCATTTTTATTGATATGGTCTGCATTTGCAATGTCATCCTACAAAGCTTTAGCACCTACCAAGCAAGGTCGATGGTCAATTGAGTAGTAGCAAAATTTACATTTTGTATTGCTCTTGTTTGTCTTGAAGCCAATTTAGAATTAGGCCACAACACGTTGGGCATGGGAAAAGATACCATATGCTCCTAATCTACCAGCTACTTTTGGACTATTTCAACAACTTTCCCAAAACACATAACTAATTAGTTACAAAAGATTTACTCTAGCCTCTTGGTGTTAGAGGAATAATAAGTTGTAGAGTTCTTTCATAGTTTGCAGTTTATTCGACAATTAGTTACTAGATACAAATGAAGTTATGATATTAGAGTCTTGTTCCAATGAATTTACTCCAAAATTAAACTGAACGTCCATAACTGGTTACTTCTACTAGCAAGATAACCAAGTTTTCTGTACACCATATAAGAAGTTTCTTCATTTTTGTTAAACGTGAAATAAAAGACAGCAGCTCGTGATCTATTAAGGATGTAAAAATGCTACATTGATGGAGCAATAAAGAACCTGGCCTGAATTCTAGTAAAACAAGGTTAGCTGCTTAGCTATAGTGTGTGTAACTTAAAGTTGCCTGAATGACCTCAGAACCTAAACATACTCTGTTAATACAAATTACAACAATAACAATCATAATTCCATGACAAAGACAGATAAAAGACTGTGCAATGAAGAGATTTAACAATGAAGATTCTTTACAGTGGATATTAAAGCAGTTGACCACCTAAGAATAACCTCAAAAACACCATACCCTCAAAATGGGATACATCTTTCAATAACTAAAAATGAGATTAATAGTTTCCTTGGGAGGCATATTAGAGATTTTATAGAAAACCAACTATGTAACTGAAACACTTAACATAAAAGGAGGCCAAAGGCTTGAAATAGAAACAGATCTCACCAGTATAGACACCATTTGGAAGGCTCTTCATTGCACTCAAGAGCTGGTTATTTGGACCCTCCAACAATTCCTTACAACCAGGTCTGTAACAAGGAACCAGCACTGCAAATCCACCATCAGTCTCATCACCACGATGAAAACCTGGACCGTGTGGTTCTTCCCACCCAATGGACCATTCAGGACCATCTGATTCATACCCAGACAAATGCATTCCATCTGATGTAACCAACACAATGTCACAGTCTCTCTCAATCCCCCTCTCCTCACTGTTCTCCCATTTTCCCTTACCCTTTTCAGGTTTTGAGCCCATTTTAGCAAGAAAATTGACAGTGTCAAGCTCTTTCAAGCCAAAACTGCAATCAGAAGAAGAATTTAGGGAAGGCCTGCTTGAGAGACGCTCTCTTTCTTTACTACCTCCCCAAAACCTCCATGAAAAACGAGGAAAAGAAACTGCCATCTTCTGATCCAAAACAGTTGGAAAACTTAACACCAGCAACTATTTGTTTACTCCTTGATGTCAGAACTTTTGTGACTAGGAAAAGAATTTGAAGCTTTTTAGAGGCCACAGTGGTTACTGCCTGTGGCAGTAACCACTATATTAGGAAATGGTCGTTGCACTCTAGATAAAAGTAGATCAAAGTTGGTAAAGACATTGATGGATTCAACAATCTCACTAATTCCAGATCAAGATTAACTAGAGCCAAAAGCTTTGCAAATCAAGTTCAAAGTAAAAACCTCATTAGATCAAAGCTACCCAATTTGGGTCATGGTCTAATTAGATAGTCAACAGTTTATGACCTTTCCTCACAAAATTCTCCAAGAAAAGTCACCACAATAAGAACCCCATCAAATTGGAAACTAAAAATCTTCGAATAAACGCAGACCAGATCTTTGAAACACTAAAAAGTTGTAACAAACAACTCAATTTTCCTCAATTACCAGAAAAAAATGTCATTTGTAGTTAAAAGCTTGAATTTTTTTTATAATCGGCGGTTAGCTTTGAATCAAAGGAATGATCTTTTTCAAGGCAACAAAGAAATATGAAGAAATGAAGACACGAGTCGCAACCTTAACGGTAAAATTAGGAGTACCGGTGACTCTTCAAAGGATTAAATCGTCATCTCACTCCTCACAATTATATCACCGGCGAGAACCAGAGAAAATGTTCGCCGGAAAATTAATCAAAGAAACGTTTCGCTGGAGCAAAAACCTAAACAACTCTAGAGAGTTCAATTGAACATATAAAACAGAAAATTTCGGCACCGGAGAGAGAAACTATCCGCTAAAAAAGACAGAAAATTGAGTTCAGAATCAGAACTCTTTTAACCCTCCACCCATAGAGTTATCTATCTCTCTATCGTCCCCCACGCCACTTTCTCTCTCTAGCTTCCTCTTTCTCTCTCTACTGTGATATCAACTGACACAGAGCTCGTCGAGTCTCCTAATGTAAAGACTCTACCTTTTAATATTTTTTTTTAATTTTTTTTGCCAATTTCATCCTTGACCTCTTTAATATGGAATAGTTTCATTCACAATCTTTATTTCATGTCACTAATAGTCCCAACCTCGTGACAAAGTGCACCATTGATCCTTCAATCAACTCAGGTGCGGTTTGGATTAGCGTCTCAGATATAGTTAAAAATTGATAATTATTATTATTTATAATTTAAAATATTTATTTATTTAATTTAACTCAATTATTAATAATTAATATTTTAAATATCAAAACATACACCTTTTACTTAAGACATTTAATTTAGTAGTGATAGATGACTTGGTGAATATTGAAGCATTTAATAGACCTCTAGATGAAACTATTATATGACATGGATGAGTAAGAAAATTGACATATGAATCCAATCTTAGGATCCAATGATTCACTTTCAAATATTAAAATACTTAGATTTATTGATTAGGATTTCCATCTTACTAATGTTTTGAAAAAATTTACCTTCCTTAAATTGTAAACTATTTTAAAAAAATGGGAATGAAAATTTACAATAGCTATTTGAAGGGTTTGTTAAGGACTCTTTAATAGTCACATTATCATTTTTTTTGTTATATTTAATATCAAATTAAAAAGGACCAATTGTAGACATTTTTTAAAAGGTTAGAGACTATTAGTGGTAGCACAAAAAGAATGGTAAATGACAAAAAATCCCACGTTCAAAAGGTTAGTGGAAAAAGAAGGATTTTAACCCCTTTTCTCTCATTTTTAAATGAAAGCCATTTGATCTTGCGGGTGGAATGGAACATTGGATGATCAAGCAGTTTCCATTATTAAAATGATAAGTAATAAGTCAATATATAAAAAAAGAAAGACTTATTTTATTAAGTAATTTAATGATAATTTTTTAATAATAATTTTATTTTAATAAACACAAAAAATCATAAATTTAGTTGATGTGATATTTAAATAAAATAAGTTATAAAATGAGAGGAAAGTATTTTTTATTATATAATTTAAAATTTTTTTAGAAAAAAAGGAAAAAGAAATTGAAGGAAATCTTCTGACCGCTTATTTGGCTACTAGTGGGATGAGAACCGTCCAAAATTTTGATCCATGGTACCTCTAGGCTCTTGCTCACTAGGAATAACGACAAATTAACATCATTTTCCCAACAAAGCTCCACTCCTAAAACCATATATATATATATATATATATATATTTTTTGAAGAGAAAACCTAATATTATTTTATTGTCCTTGACACTGATTAGTTATCTACAAATATCTTTATTATGACATGATGATAACCAAATAGCGTAATGGTGACTAATTTTTCTTTCGAGAAAAAGTATTGGGTTCAAATTATGACTGTAGGTCGGAGTATAAAAAGGGATTAGATTATAGGAGAAAGTGAACTTACATTTTATGTCACCATTCTTTCTCATGCAATGACTCATCTTTATCAATAAATTAAATTTCCATTGGGGTTTGAAAAAATTTATGTCATTGTCCTTTGAATAGTGAATGCAATTATTTCTATATTGCTATTGATACTCATTATTAAATGTTAATGATTTGAATAATTTAATAATAATTTTTTTAAAAACGAAACTTAAAGATATTGAATTAAATTATTTATGTGAATACGATGAATTAAAAGATAAAATAAATTTGTTTCACTTATTATAATTTAGAATTAATAACAAAAAAAAATCTTGTTATTAACTGAGATTACTAATTTTTAGATCAACTTAAAAAATATATAAAAATATTTATAAAATTAATTAATTACTCTTAATTAATCAAAATTTCACAGATATTTTTACCCTTTTATGCAAATCAACTTGAAAAATGCTTGTATGATATTAATTATATACCAAACAAATCTACATTAGGTTGAATAGATAGACATAATCCCTTATTGGATTTAGCCTTCACCATGTGAATCAGTCTACGTTTGAAATTGGTTTTGCAGTACTGATTTTGCACACGATCATGTATACTAGTATTAAACTTGTTAATTTAATGCAAAATCAAATTAAATTGATTTTAATTGATATTTTATATATTTTAATAATTATACAAATGTACAGCACTTCCAAAAAATAATTATCAAATAATCACATAATTGATACACTACGAAAAAAAAAAAAAAAACAGTCACAAAACTTACAGATCAAACAATCCCAAACTCAGCCTCAATTAAGCAATAACTCATGACTTAATCTTCGACAAATATAGAGGAGATACGTTTTTTTTTTCCTATTTAGAGACACGGTATCAAGCTTTTATAATTTTCTTTTCTAGAAAGCATATATAACTGAAAACAAAATTGGAAAAATCCCTTTTTAAGACATTTCAAGGGAACTTTAATTTTGTCAGTAACTTCAAAGAATTCTTAGACCCCACAAGAATGCACCAAGCAAGTACCTTCCGTTGGCCCTAGTTGCTGTAATGGGCATTTTTTCAAAGAGCTGATGAACACATGATGACATGATGAGGATTAAACTTTAAAGTCAAAGGTTTGAAATAAAGACAATTTTATTTACTCTACAATTAAAGACAGTACTTTTTATTACTAGCAGTTAAGGACACTATCCACACATAATTGGCAATTAAAGACATTTAATGCAAATGTGCCAAAATAGTTAGGTTCCCTGCCGATCATGTTGGCATATACCCTATCTAATTTCATTATTGAATTGTGAATTTTGGGGGAGATGAGTGGGATACACTCATATTTTGATAGTACAAGGAGGGGAGGGGGAAGAAGGATGGGAACCTTTTTTATTTATTATTATTATTTTTTTTTTGGTGTGTTAGAGGGTTAATTACTTGATATGCAGAGGTTTGATTTTCTGACATTGATTTTAAATTAATAGATACCAATGAGAGTTGGTGTCAACTTAGCTAAGCTCTCATTGGTGGGAACTAGTACTAGGAAAGGGAGGATAATTCCCTAGGATCAAACCTAAGAGTTGGGGGTATTCACTTCATAGGGGAGAAAAGTTAAGCCACCTACTACACCATCCATGGTTGAGCAATTCTCATTTTAAGATTGAATTAACTTTGCTTCTCAATTTTGGATTGTAGAGAAATTTTGGCCATGATTCTTCAAGTGTAGCTCTATCATATGTTCAAAGCAACCAACATGTATACAAATCATCTCGTTACTAAATGCTATGGGTCACCCTTGTCTTTTGATTTCTCTCTTTTTTTATGTCTACCGCTATGGGCTTGCTGTGTATTAAAATGTTGATATTATTAGGCGGGTTGAATTCCCAAGTGCTAGTTGTGTGTTTGTTTTTGCTCTCTAATATATTTCTCCTTTTCCAAAAAAAGAAAAAAAAAGAAAAAAAGATTGCAAGATTGCTTTTGTTGGCATTTTTAAGTTTTTTAATCTTGAATTGTACAATGTCAAATAATTATTTTTTTATCTTTTAATTCATTTTACTTATATATTATGTCATTTAAATTCAAAATCTCTTAATTTTATTAAAAATAAATCTTGTTACTATAAAATTTAGATTTTTTTAATTAAAATGATTTCATGTGAGATTAAATAGTTGATAGGAGACATGTTAATGCGAGATTGAAAACATAATAATATGAACACATTTTCATTTGGCCAAACTTCCTATTTGCACCTCACACTTTTTCTTTTTTTTTTGTAATCAATACCTTCAAGAATTTTTATTTTTAATCAACATCTTTATAATTTAAAATTTATTAAAAAAACTAAAAATTTAACAGTTAAACTCCCTATTTGCACTCTAATTTTGTTGGTAATTTAAGATTTTTTATAAATTTTAAATTATATAAAGACTTGACCAGAAGTGAAAATTATAAAAAATATTAATAGTAAAAATAATAATGTGTAGAGTGTGCAAATAATGAGTTTGGTTTTTTCATTTTTAATTAGAAGTACAAATGTGGACACTATTTATTACATTTATCGACAACATATCGCCATGAGATCAAAAGAAGGTCAGCAAAGTCATCAAAGCAATCCAACTTCCCTTTTTAAATGTGAGGTTTTTTCCATATCAATTGAGTCTTCGCTCAATTGGTTCGAGAAAAATAAATAAGATGCTACTCAAAAACACA